GAAGCTCGAGGTGAGAACCGAACACGTGGCGATTGCGAGATCGAGAGCTCCATTGATGCCACACAAAGTCTTACTCTGCTACTTTCATTTGCACGAGGAACTTGTTCTTTTGGTTCTTCTGTATCTACTTACCGACCATACAAGATTGTGTTTTTGCAATCCGGTTCCTTTATTCTTAACTATGTCCGTAGAAAGCCTAAAACTTTTAATTTTACTCTTAAAAGTCCACTGTAGTGGCGTACAAAGCATATAAATGGAAGTCAAATCGGAATCCTAATCAATTGATGAAGTATTGGAAAAAAAAATGAAGCAATCAAGTAAATACAAAATTTGGATTAATATTTTCAGACAGACAAAAACAAACTCACTCTGGTTAAAAGGTGAAAAAAAAAAACACACACTTCATGACTTGAAGTTTGGTTTCTCAAACAAAATATGTTTAAGACATATTGGGTACAGTTTCAGTTTGTGCTATAGAAAAGCCTTCTTTGCTCTTTGACAATGCTTCAGCTTCATCAGTAGCACGAGCAGTTGATTTCATTGTCTCTGTTCCTTCTTCATCCTCCTCCTCCTTGTCCATGACTATTCTTGATGAAGCTTCGGTTTTGTTTTCGGTTTCAGTTGTCTCTCTGTTCTCTTTATCAATCATGTCATTGACTTCAATCTCTAAACCTCTGGTTTCATTTGTTCTTGAGTGTTTTGTCTCTCCACTCTCTTTTTCTTCTCTATTTTCATCCATGACTACAACTTCTGGAGCTTTGGTTTCAGTTCTCTCTGACAAATCATTTGCAGAGTTGTTGTTGTTGTCTCCTTCTTTGATAAACTCGCCGATTTCCAAAAGCTTTTGAGCTTTTAATTCGCCTACTTCGTTAACATTCTCTGCTATTTCGGCTTCTGAAACTTTCTCTACAGCTTCTGCCACCATTGCATCATCTACTAGAACCTCTGCTTCTTTTGAAACCGCTTCATCTTCTGGAGCTTCCCTCGTGGTTTGCTCCAATGAACCAGCTTTTAAGTTACTCGTCTCCGGTTTTTCTTTGATCTCAGCTTCTTCTAAAGCTTTCTTTTCTGTATTTTCAGGTTTATCGGACTCCGAGTCAGCAACATTCTTTGGTTTGATTTCTAGACGCCCCAGCTTTGCATCAATTTCCTTGACTATATTCGTTAGTGCTCTTGCATTCCGGGCTTCAGATAACCGAGTAGACAACTACAACATGCCACAAAAGTTTTAAGCAAGAAGTCATGTTTACACTACACCGAGTAGAGCTCAAGCAATTAAGCTCAGAGTAATATGTATTTGCTGATAGTTCACCTGTTGTATCTGTTCAGCCCGGGGTTTGAGATCATCCGNAGATGCTTCCTTGTAGATAATCCGGAGAATGTACATCAAGTGAGAGCTTACATTATCCGTATGATGTTGTTGGATCTCACATTGGTGTACATCAGAGAGACAACCAACAGCGTGAAATGGACAGTTCACAAGTTTCATAGGACACGCGGTTATACAATGCCTATCCATTTCACGTCTCATGATACTCTCTGAGCAGTTCTGTTCACACGGAATTATCTTGAACGGGCAAACCGAATCGTGATGCTCCAACTGATTCGCGCAGAAGACCGCAGTGCAACCCTCGTTCTCACAGTTCATCGTCCTATACCCGCAATTCAAAACGTGAGCGGCGAGCTCTCCTTCGGTTTGGAACTTCATTTCGCAATGAGAACTGTTTTTAAAATCGACGTTTTTAAGCAAGGTCTGAGCAATTCCTTCTCTATGATCCGTCAACCAGAACCCGCTTATCTCCATCTCCTGCGCGAAATCATCAATGTTATCTTCTCTCCTTTCGCTAAGCATCCAACCCGAAACCCGACTAAACAAGTTCCTCTTGGAGGTAGCGAAATCATCGATGAAATCAGATACTATGTCATAAGGATCATGAGAAGCTTCAATCTCAGAACCACCTTGAAGAACAATGTGTTCAGCCACAAAGCTTTCGCTTCTACGAGTCAGATAATCGATCATTTCTTTTCTAATGTCAGCAGCGACAGAACCTGGACTCCTGAAGATATCACCGGTGGTGTTATCGACACAAGCAGTGGCTAAACCAGGGAGAAAAAACTGAGCTAACTTGTGAACTACTTCTGTATCGTAAAGATGACAGTGAAAAGAAGGTCCTCCTTCTTTCTGATCTTCGATTGTCTCAAGATCTGTCACAGGAGGATCCATTGCTCTATCAGGAATCGTCTGCAGAACCAAAAAAAAAAACACACAAAATTGAAGAACAAGCATTTCCAGATCATTGAAGAATTAAAGACACAAACTCCTCCATAAACACCCTAAAAAACCAAAGTCTGTACATTTTCTGGTCAGACGAAATAACTGTTAAAACCGATCACAGCTTCACGATCCAGAAAATTTACAGATTATGTAATATATAGATGACGGATTCAGGGCATGAACGGAAGTTGAGTCCGATTACAAGCAAATTCAACTGTTGGATTGATCAAAAAAAGGAATGTAAGGAAAAAAAACAAAATGTACCCTTTGAATTGGTCGTGTCTTAAACAAACAAGGGTAAATCGGAGCAGGAACTAACAAAGCCTGTAAGGAAATCTGACGGCGAGATCAAGATGAACA